TTTTTGGGTGTTAGTTCTAGAAGGTCTTGTAGGTCTTCATAGGACTGTTCAGCTTCAGCTTCTTCAGCATTACTAGTCGGGGCATAGTCTTGGATTACTGTTACGTTGGATGGTTTGCCTTGGTAACAAACAGAGATCATTCTGTCTTTTTTTGAGATTGCATCCAAGTACTGCATTTCAGACTCTTTTATTGACTATGATGGCTACTCCGTTTCTTCTAAGGGATTCCTGCCCACAGTAGTAGATATAATGGTCATCTGAGTTAAATTCACCCATTCCAGCGGCAGCTGTGTGATGGCATAGGAGCGGTTGAGAGGAGCTATCCCACATCCACGGAGCAGCCATGAGGAGCTACCCCTCACCCAAAGTCAGGGGCGGTGACCGAGAGCGCCAGGCTGCGATGGCGCAGGAGCGGCCAAGAGAAGCTACCCCACATCCGAGGTCAGGGGCGGTGGCCGAGACAAGCTACCCCACGTCCAAGGCAGTGCCTTAGGTTAGAGCTTTTTGTGGGAAAATTCTCTCTCTCTCTCTCTCTCTCTCTCACCTCCACCTTTTTTTTTTCTCTCTCTCTGGCTATCCCACAGTTTGGGTTGCTATCTCAGGTTAGCTCCCTCAGATTGCCCTCAGGGCATTCAGGCCCAGTCCTTATCCTAAGCAATGCAGCCCGAGCCTCCCTATTCAGCCCCCGCTTGTTGGTGGCAGATGCAAGCGTCTGGGCTACTTCTCCACTGGGAGTTGCAATTAGGCCCATAATCTGTGGGTTTTATTTATTTATTTTTTTCCTCCTGGTTATATTGCCCTCTGGATCCCAAAACTCCCCACAGAACCGCCAGTGAGAGGGTTTCCTGGTGTTTGGAAACTTCTCCTCTTTTACAACTCCCTCCTTGGGAACAGGTCTCCATCCCTAACTCTTTTGTCTTTTTATTTTTTATATTTTGTCCTACCTCCTTTCAAAGAAAATGGGCTGCCTTTCTGGGTGCCTGGTGTCCTCTGCCAGCGCTCAGAAGTTGTTTTGTGGTATTTTCTCAGTGTTCAAATGATCTTTTGATGAATTTGTTGGGGGGGAAGTGGTTTCCCCATCTTATTCCTCTGCCATCTTAGGACTGCCCCCTTTATGTTTTTATAAAGGAAAAATTAATCCATTTGTTCTAAATTGATTTTCACTTAAGTCATTACAATGTGGTATTGTAAAGACAGCTTGATGTCAAAAGAAACTTCTGGATTTTTTAATACAATCATTTTTGTCAGTTTTTGCCAACAGTAAAATGAGTTAAAGAACCAGAAGGCTTTACAGAGTGGAGGCAAGTTGTTTGAACAAGTTCTACACTTGAAGTTGTAAATCTTCCATTTTTAACCAGGACACAGCTCTGAAAATGAAAATAGAGGATATTCAAAACATGGACAGCACAAAGTTAGTGAAAGAGTCTGTTTCTGAAGCCAATATTTTCATCATGTCATCACTTAATAAAAACAATGCATCTCCTCATTCTTCTCTACTTTCCCACAGAAAGAGTCCATCTGTGAAAAGGCTGATTCAGCTCAATTGAATACATTGTTATTGCCAAAAGGAAGTTGTACCTGGTAGGAGAGACAAACAAGGGCCGGCGCATTATGAATAGGTATATTATGGGCCTAAGCATTGTATTAGGGTTTCAGAGTGCTTTGGGCTATGGACAGGTAAAAGATGAACTTGGCAGCAAATTGAGGACACTAATGGAAGAAGTGAGGGCATTAATTTTAACACCTTAGCTGAATAGCTAGGTTCATGGTTTTACTGTTTGCTAGGTGAACCAGGATGATGAGATAGTAGGAATTGTGAAATTTGGGCTTCTCTTGAACGGAAGGGCCATGGAATGCAGCCATGTGCCTCTGGCAGGTGACAAGAGGAATGAGGGGCAAGCAAAGTGGGGACCAATTGGAGATAAGAGAATGGTCAAGGCAGGTTTCTTTGACTTTGTGATTGTACTTCTTTAAGAAGAATATCTCTGCCCTTTTGTTCCAGTCTTTCTGTCTCCAGTAATGATATCCTTCTCTGCCCACCTGGAACACTCCTCAACCCATTCCTTCAAGGCTGAGCTCACAGATTGTCTGTTCTGTGAAGATTTCTCTTTTCCTCCAGGCAGAATTTCCTACTAGCTCCTTGGAGGTTTTCATAGCACTGTAGATTTTAAAATAAAGAAGATCAAAAGCATCTACATCTTGGAATTATGCCAAAAAGGATTTTAAAAATTAACATATAATTTTTTTTTTCTAAATATGGCATTATAATAACTGAATACTCATTATGCTGGAATTCCCAGAACACAGTGGTGGTGATCCTGTGGGCTACCACATCCATGGTGATGGAGAGGATGGGCTGGACCCCTCAGTAAGGCCTTGGCCGTCTTCCAGGTGATGTATGAGGCAGGAAGATTCTGGGTCATTCTCAGTCACAGGGCTCCTTTGGAATGAAGGAGAGGTCGTTAAGCCAGAGCAGGTTAACACCTGGATATGCCATTAAAACCACCTTTTACAACATTTTGGTTCAACTTTTATTCTACCTTAGCACTTCTCACATTGTTTAAAGTAAGGTCCAGAATAGGACAAGAAAAAGGGAAAGCAATAGTGACAACTCTACTGGAAAAGCATGTATCTGTTAAAATGGGGAGTGGGTTTACACTGGGATGCATGAATCTCACCGTATGTTAGATGATTGAGTTTCTTGGGCTTTTGTTGTTGGTTGTCTCTCTGTGCTATAAAAGAATCTAGTGTTTAATATTTACTTCTTCACATATTATAAACCTGAATACAGGACTGTGAATTGCTTCACCGAGAAGCCAGTCAAAGAATAATCATTTCTAACACTGGAGGAAAACCCAGCTCTTTCTTAAATGATTTTTTTTTTTCTCAAATGAAATTTTGCATAGCATTTTTGTTTTAGTTTTTGTTGCAGATGCTGGCTCTAGAAAACAACCCCAAGTTAAAGGCAGTTCCACTGGAATCTACTAGATGGTGAGCGCTTCACAGGCTGGGACCACACCTTATCACTGGCCATGTTTATACTCAGTGCTCCTAGCACAGAGGAGTCTTAATTAACACTGGCTGATTACAGAGATCATCTCTTCTACAGCTTCAGAACAGCACTCCCTTCACCCACCTTCCTCTTAGACTCATGATAGTTATTGACCTAAATGACCTTCTATTTGTGCATTGTACTCTGTGCTCTCTGAGCAGGCAATTTGCTCCCTTTAGGTTCATCCACAGGAAATAATTAACCCCTTCCAACCAGTGCCTTAAATGTGTGCAGCTGGATATGATGCTTGCTTTGACCACACCTTCTGCTTCTCTCCTAATTGACTTAGTAAGAATGGTAAGCTGCTCTAGAGAGAAGCCTGGTCCTCAGCCTTTCCTTCCAGATGAACTGAGAGGGCAGGAGTCACAAGGAAGAAGGGTACATTTGGAAGGACTGTGGAGACTCTGCCTCTTTTAGCTCTTCCTGGATCTTCGTTGAAAGCTGTTGTCTGGGGCGTGGAAAAGGTTAACTCGCTTTCTCTTCATTTTCCCTCCCCTTAACTGCCAATTGATGGTTGCTGTGGGTGCAGGCTCAGCCTGGGAGAGCTTATGGGGCTCCTGCTTAATTGTTTGGAAGCTAAAAACAGACCTGGAACAGTGAGAAGCAAATTGTTTCCTGGGTGCATGTTCCGTGGAGCTCTGCTTAAATCACTCCAAGCCTCCCCCTATCATTTTTGAAATGAGGTGGGGCTTAAGTAATTAAGTAAATAAATGAAATCACAGAAAATCAAGAGGAAAGAAAACTGTTTCTCCTTGCAATACAAATGATTTTCAGACAGCTCATTTACTAATTGCCAGGCAGTCAGTCTCTTTTCAGCCTCTTCCCTCCATTACCAGCTTAGCCCTTGGGCTGCGGGGGGTGGGGCACTGGGTACTGTACTCTCCGTGGGCTGATTCTGACTCAGGGATTTGTGGAGCGCAGCCCCCTCCATCCCTCCCATCTGCTGCTACTGAGAGCACTGCTCCAGCCTGGCAAGCCATCCATGGGTGCTGTCACGGGAACTCAGACAGCTGCTGACAAACATCCACCCTGGATTTGACTAGAGCTGCAGCTGCGGGAGGCTCTTTGGCTTAACAGTATCCATCAGAGGTATTTTTAGAAACCAGTGTAATAAGAAAAGGTTCCTGCTGCAGTATTAACAGGCAACCTCCCTGTACCCATGTTTGAGAACCATACTTGGTATCATAATGTACACTGGTGGTAGTAACTCATGTTGTCAGGTCTAGTAAAAGCCAGAAACAGAACAGCATAAAATTTATTGGCTGAATGGTTTTGAAGCAAGACATGCTTCCGGCATCAAAGGAGATGAAATTTATGCTAACAATAAAAATCATTGCAAATCTGGGTTATTAAAACCAATATTATATTTTGTAAATGCCATATGAACCCAAATAACAGGCTTTAAGAAGACCAAGTGATTCTAAAGGACGTTAGACAAAAAAAGCAATTTAACTGTAAATTAGCTTGATGGTACGGAACCCGGGTTGCTCATTTCTTCTCTATACTTTTTATATGGTGGTTGGGGGATAAATGGTTTTTTACACAGAGGAGAAACAGCAGGCTCAGAGTACATGGAAAATTCAGGTGGTGGTCATAAATACACATATCACACTTTATTTTAATTGGACAGCATAATCTCCTCAGGAAATGAAGCAAAACGTTTGGATTCTTTCAGCTGGTAGATTTTGAGAAGATTTTCCATAATTCAGTCTTTTATTTTTCTTACTGTTTTTCATGTATCTGTAAAAAACCAACACTGAACGAATAGTCTTGTACCAGCACCTGCTTTCATGCATATTTATTGTATCAGGTGGAAACCCCTAAGCATAAGAACTGTGTAGGACTAATAAGGATGACTGCAGACCCTGCCACAATGACAAAGCAGAAAGGGACATTTTGAGTCAGTTTTAATGTGTATACCATTCGTTCAAATAGACAAGAATTTTCTCACAACTTTGAAGACATTTCTATAAAATATATTTTTCTTTGCCTTGGGAGAATTTTTAGCGGTAAAAAAAATGAAGAAAGAAAGTGGTCAAAAAGAAAAGATATGTATTTACTTTCCTTCTGCCCCCAGGTATAAATACTCTTGAATAAGTTGTGTCTTTTCTTAGATGACAGAAATGAAGATGTAAAAGTCTACCCAGCATTACTTTACTTGAAATTACTATTTCAAGATGAAGAAACTAGAGGAAAGACCCCTAGTGAAAAAAAGGTCACCCCCGACAATCAGATTTAAAATCCAGCAGTGAAACTAGGTTCAGTGAAGAATTCAACTAAAATGTTTAGTGCTCAGAATGTCAAAGTATAATTCTCAAAAAATTAAAAGATGACTTTCATGCAAATATAGAATGATCACATGCCAAAGATATTATCTAGCTCATTAATTAATGAGAAAGACAGTAAAATCATAAAGCTGCTTCAAAGAGCATGTGAGGAGCTGGTTGTTTGTAGGCAATGTAATAAGGGAATGCTAAGTTAGACTGCTGCATTAGAATTAAACTGTGAGTCATCAACAGTACAAGAAACTGTAACATTTGAGGTTATTTTCCTCTCAGACAGAAATTATTGCTTCCATACCAGATACAGGGCTACAAAGTAACATGTAACTTCATAGAACCTAGGCCTTTAATTTAGATTTTAAATATCAACATCTCACCATGGTAGATTATTTTAGAAAATTAAGTAACCCCAGACCAAAAGGGCCTGTTAAACACCATTTCAGTGTGACTTTGAAACAATGTGCACTTATCCTCTTGTCCTTGTTTACAAGTTATGGATGACTTTTCTTAATAAAGTGACATAAGGAATTCTGAATTTACCACCTAATCATCTGTTACATTTTTTTAACAGCAGGATGCTTGGTAAAAATGACGTTTTAATCAAGTATCTGTCAACCCTTTGTCACTTCCTTGGTTCTTTCAATATTGGTAGTTGGTGCTTGTATACTTTTAGCTTATGAATTAAGCTCTCTGATCCTTGCAGCTCTTAGCAGCCTGGCCCGCTGAGCTGGAAGAACCTTCAGTGACAGTGAGAACTTAACGCTGCAGTGACATGCAAGGGTGCTCGAATATTGTGATATAAGCCACCCTCTATTCCCCTCCTTCCCACATCACACACACATACATACACACACACACACACACACACACACACACACACACACAGAGCCTCACTCAGTGGGAGTGAAGAGTCTAGATAATTATATGAGCACAGGGCAAGCGTGCCTCCTCCAAGAAGCTAACCCTCCTTTGGGCTTCCTGATTAGCTCAGTGATAGAGCTACAGGCTCCTTGCCTTAAGATCCTAGAGGTTCACTATTCCCACTTCTCTGTGAAACCAGAGGTCCCCAGAACAGCTTCACCTGTGACTTTTGTAAAACGTAAATTCAATCATGTCACCCTCATGTTAATATCAAGCAGTGGCTCCCCATTACCCTCAGGATACAGTCCAAATTCCTAACATGACTTACAAGGTCTGGCCCGTCTTCTGTCCTTCCATCCTCAAACCTCTTCTCTCTTCCCTTGTACCGTTTCCCTTCTAACATATGCATTTGTTTTAGTTTTTCAAATGTGTTCTGTTCTCATTAACCCCTGTGCAGGCTGTGTCTTCTCTCTGGGCAGTTCACAGACCTCAGGGCCAGTCTTCAGAAGATCTTGTGAATTTCACCCAAAGGTCATTGTTTGCCCTTTAGCGTAATTTTCAATACATTTTTTCTTTGAGCTGGAAATATTTGCGAGGCAACAGAAGAGAGTCGGTAGATCAGGAAATTACAGGAATGATGTAAATGTCGCACGCTAAGATTTTGGCCAGCATCTGATTAAGTCGCTCATGGCCACTTCTGAGAACAGCATAGAGGGTGATATAGATTGGATCATGGTGCTGAGTGAGATTTGTAACACAGAACCTCAAGGAGACATAAATTGCCAATAGTGTGCTTGAGGAAGGTCTCTGTTATTGCCATTACTTGCAGGCCATTGTTTTCATAAATGTTTTGCCTCAATGGCAGGCCGCTGGGACAAAGTTAATATTAACATGTAAAATATTAACATGAAGATTAGTTAACAAAATGTTCCTGGCATATTGAAATAATGAGTTACATCTAACTAGAAAAATTTTATGTGGATGATCACAATGAAACAGCACAGTGATAGGATAGGATGGGAACAGGAAAGAGATTTGGAATGAACATTGGTGAGTCTAACTGAAAGTAAATTCTACATGAGTCCCCAGGATGACATGACTTCCAAAAAATAGTAGGATTTCTTGGCTGAATTGATGAAAGCATAGTATTTATATCAATGTGGGTTTTAGTGGTTTTTTTTTTTTTTTTCTGACTTGCTCAATTCAGAGATAGGAATCTATGTTTGGATTCAGGTATTATATTTC